AAGGAAGTCTTTTGGGAATTGGTGATGGTGCACAGTTTGTGTGTTTCATTGAAACTTGATACTTATTCCAACTGGGAATTCCTCTCCATCTTCCCAAAATCTCACAAACAAATTCTAGTGATAAACTCCACTCCATATCTCAAACAGGGATTACTTTTGAGAACCATGCATGCCCTTTCCAGATGTCAGTGGAAGGCATCCAGGGGGCAGAGTCAGTATAATTTCTCATGGCTGATTTTGACAGTAGATGTCAGGTTAGTGTCATCCTGGAGCGTAACTGGAACTTGGGGATGAATCTCTTATTTTGGTAGCACTTTAAAATAAGTGGCAGTAGTTCATGCATAATTACTTCTGAATTATCTAGGGGATTTATCAGGTTTGATTATAGATGCGTAATGAATTTACCAAATTTGTGGGTATTAGGGAGATATTAATTCCATATGAAACCTCACAATTCATTCATGTGCCATTTGTTTTCATTCCTCTTTTATAATAAGCTAATTAGTTTAAATTATTTGTACTTGTACAAGGTCTTGAAACACATATAAGGAATGATTATACCAGAGAACCCAATAAATGAGGAGTTTTGGAGACAGCATTAACTGTGATGAAGGGTTCATAAAGCAGGGGATGTTCAATTTTCCCATTTGGGGTGGTAATAACAGGTCTAATCATGACACCTCTATAAAGTCGTGGGAAGTCCCTAATTAATGTTTCTGAATTCCAATATTTAAATGAAGGTAAGGTAAGTCATTGTGCCAGCTGGAGGATGAGGCAAAAAGGGGGGTTCAACCTTGTGCTAAGCAAAGAAAAGATGAAATGGTGAGGGCTTGTCAATTCTGGGCTGGAAGGAAGATAGGGACCAGTATGTCTGATCTGTCTGGAAGATTCCTTTAAAAGAACCCAGGGTTCTGGAGGTCACCGGCAGGCTGGAATTTCAACCCCTCAGAGTGAAGGGATGGGCTTCTTTGGGTTTGGTTCCAGCGTCTGTTAACCCCCAACCCCTCGTTTTTTTGTGTGAAAGCAGCACCGTCTGGCCAATGAGCCCAGGCTGGGGTCTCTGTGGATTGATGGATACAAACCATCTTCTTTCCTTAGGGAACAAAGAAGAACCAAGACAGGAGAGGAAGCCTGGGCCAAACCCTCCCAAGGAGCCTATGGTGGTAGGAACAAGAGCTATCATTCCTTGAGCCCATTCTCAATGGTAGGCAAGTGCTAGACAATTCGCTCACACATTTCATTCTCATAACAGACCTATGGTGTAGACAGTATCATTATCTCCACTTCGCAGGTCAGGGGACTGTGGACAAGAGGTCAGGCCATTTGCCAAAGTCCTCCACTCAGTCTGTAGGCAGCAGGGCTGGGTCCTTGAGGATGTCTGATTCTGAGGCCTGGTCCTTGATCTCTGTGCCCCATGGCCTCCTGTAATCCCCCCTGTCTCCCAAACATCAGTGATGTCTGATTCTGAGGCCTGGTCCTTGATCTCTGTGCCCCATGGCCTCCTGTTATCCCCCCTGTCTCCCAAACATCAGTGATGTCTGATTCTGAGGCCTGGTCCTTGATCTCTGTGCCCCATGGCCTCCTGTTATCCCCCGTCTCCCAAACATCAGTGCTGTCATAACACCATCATTCCTACGCTTATCCTTACCAGCCCAAATGGGGAACTTGAAGAATTACTGTTTTTTGAAATCTGAATATCAGATTTTCACTTTCCAGGCAATTCACCAGGACAGAGGCCTTTTAATTTTCCTCCCTGAGATCTTCCTCCATGGACCAATAATGAAGGACCAGCCACCTCACTGGTCCCCTGTTGTGAGTAGAAAAAGCCCTACAAGGATTAATGCAAGAAGTTGCCTTAATGGATGAGACATCAGTTTAATTTATGCTTTATTTAAAAAGTCATTCATTCATGCATTCAGCAGACGGCATTTGTTAAATGTCTCCTATACTCCACTGGGTTTTGTTGGGTTGCGAGGGTGGGGGAAGGGGAAAAGAGAGCAGGTATAATAAAGCTTATGCCAGACAACTTGTTTATAATTTTCTTGTGAGGAATAGATGTACACACCTGAAAAGTTAAGTAAACAAGAGGATGATGGAATAACTAGGCAAGTGAGGGAGGCAGACAGTGCGTGGTCTACTGAGTCCAAAAGAGGTGACAATACTGGGGCCGCAGTGGCCAAAGATGATGGCTTTGGAGGGGCAGAGGAGTCACTGACTGGCTCAGTGAAGGATGGGCAGGGTTGGGGTGGCAGAAGAGGCACCAGCTGGACCTGCCCAGAAAACCAAGCCCCTGTGCTACCTTGGTCTGTAAATAGGTGTTTGACCTTAGGGGGAATCACTCTCTAGCGCCTCACTGTCTTTGCTGTAAGATGGAGATAATGATACCTCCTGGGGTTGTCATGAAATTCAAATAGGGAAATGGTTAGGAAATGGCTCTGAAAGATGTAAAGAGCAATATAAACACCAGATACGGAATGAGAAGAAAGCAACACTGGATGTGGCATTTTGCAAACTCTAATCACCCAGTACCACATGTGGAGGAGCTCTTTTCAAGGTCACATGGACACTTTGGCCCGACTCTAACCTGGCAGCATTCGGCGTGACATTCCAGGGCAACGAGAAATGGGAGGGGCTGCATGAGACATGGCAAGGCCAAGGCAAAGCCCCAAGGTTCACAGACAGTCCATGGAAAGTGCACAGGGGTACCCGAGAAGGGGGAGAAGGGCAGGGATGCCCTGGACATTTCATCTCTGGTGCTATCAAACAGAAGATGTCACCTTTGTTCCTCTATAGCCATTTTTAGTTGCACCAAAAAGGGGTATTGAAAAATAGACCTTGTAGCTGCCTCCATGCGATTCAGGGGAAGATGACACCACTTCTAACTAGAGGGTGACCCTGGAGCCCAGCACATATCTTATCCTCAGTCACGAACAGCGAGGTCACAGTCCTCCATTCTAGAATCTCATGTCCTTGAATCTCCCAATCATGGGCTTTCAGTTTCAAGGGGAATTTCTATACAGGACACAGAATTTCTACTTTGAGAATCAGCTTGACTGTCTTGCAGGGTCTAGATTCAGTTTCAAAAGGCCGGTGAGCCAGGGCTCATGGTTAGGACACCTGACAGGTGGCGGGAAAGACCTCTCCTGGAGACTCTGCTTTATTGCTAAAAGTTGCTAAAGGATGAGCAACTTAGCAGCTAGGACTTTTACCACTTAAGTGATAAAATGAAAAGTCAAGCCCTAGAAGATGGATCTAGGATACCTAAACTGAAAGAATTTTTTTTTTTCACAGCATATTGCAGTGCAATGGTGAAAGGAATTTTAAATGGGCAGTTTCTCCTTTTTTCCTACCTCCAGGCATCTGACTCTGAAATATTGAAGGTGAGGGAGATAAGACTGGACTTTCTGAGAAGACCTCTAAGAAAGGGGTTTCCGTTGAGAAGAAACCACGGTAACAGTCAGAGGAAGAGCATGTGTAATGTAGGAAATTCTTTTGCTTCAGATAGATGCCCTTCCCTTACCCCAGGCACAGTAACCTTAAAGCCATGTCCTGAATCTCTGGAGAGGTGTCTAGCCTGGCTCACATCCTGAGCCCTCTCCACCTGGGCAACCATGCAGCTGACATCGTGAGAGGTCTGAGTCCCTCAGACTCCTGAAGGTCAATGGATATTGCGTATCTTTTTTCTACACTGCTTCAATACTTTTCAATTTTTGTTTTGTTTTATTTTATTTTATTTTTTTTTTACAACCTTAAGTGTTTTAAGGATTTGTTTGCTCCTTTAAAGGCTTTGCTTCCCCCTGAATATTATGACTAGCCTAGTGGGTCAGAGGCCAGAAATCTGCAGAGGGCCATTGATTCACCCTAGCTTTTATCCTGGCCTCAACATGATAGCTCAAACTGCCAGATTTTATGTAGGAGGAAGGAAGACACTGAGAGATGTTCCTTGCTGGCACAGGCTGTACTGAACACCGGTCTCACCCCACCGTGGGCAGGTGGTGGTGGAGCGCATCTGTCTGTCTCTGTGTTGATGGCTGTGATTTGGCAGCTCTGCCGAAGATTTGTGAGATGGAAGAGCAAGTGCAGGGTTGGGGTATGGGGAAAGGGGTAAGAAAGGAGATTAGTCGTTTGAGTCTGGATGATTTTTCTTGATGTCAAAACCTCACCCAGGAGAGCTCTTGCTGTTGCCTGCTTTTATCTGGAAAACAATGTGAGCAGTATCTCTCAAAATTAGGTCAGGGCTTGCAGAGGCAGGGGCTTGCCAAGGTGCTAACTGCCTGAATCCTCGGTGGGTTTACACAGCTCTCTGCTCTGACAAATGCCTCCTTTGTCTCTCTGTAAAGTCTGCCTCTTTTCTCCTTCACCCCTTCACTCCCCCCAAAACAACTGAATTTGGAAGGCTAAAAATCACTTCAACTTGAAAGCTCTCCCTCCCCACTCAAGTTGTTTCTCTTCCTACCCAGGGAAGGCAGCTACTGTGTGTCACCCTGGGGACTAGAACCACTTTTCAAAGAGCACAGATCTGCTGTTCTCACAACGCAGTTGTCATCTCGGGAGCAGCGTGTGCCTGTCCTCCCTGGGAGAGGCTTATGAAGGCTGTGTCTCAACCATTTCAGAGGGCTGCAGAATTAGGGGGACAGTCCCTGTGGTTTGGTCTCCTTAGGCTTGTCTTGGCTCAGGTTTCTGTGGGGCAACAGTATGATAAAAATTCTGTCCACTCTACCAAAACTGGAGAAGCAATAACAGGATGGTGGAGCAGCAACAGTCAGTTCTTGTTTGGTTTTCCAGGGCAATGTGGCTTTCTCTTATTTTTTGCTCCTGACACTGTTTGCACTGACTAAGATAGCATGGCAATGAAACACTGTTGACTCTAAAAGCGGGGTGGGGCTGAAGAAGGGGAGAGAGGAGGCCTTAGAAACTAATTAGAATCCTCTAGAAGTATGTGGAAATGAAAAACTGAGCCAGGAATGTCCAGTGGATTCTCTAGATTCTGGGACTGTCCATTATCTATGCTGGGCAAAGGAATAAGAAACCAGAGCTGTCTCTCGAACCAGCCACATCAGATGTTCCCAGGAGCAATGTTTGCAGGTGAGTGAGGTCAGGGAGGCCTTCAGAGTGATGACTCTGAAGTCAGAAAGATGCCTCTTGGTGCTGCCATTCATATCTGTGAGATGCAGGGCCAGTTTCTTAACCATAGCCTCCATGATTCAGTTTCTTCATTTGCAAGATGATTTAAATAAGATAATATATTGAAAACCCTTAGCGCCCAATAAGCCTTCAAATATTATAATTGTTTTGTATGTTTTGGCAAGAAAATAGAATACCACTATCATTGGAATCTCTGGAAAACCTAGGTTTCCAAACCTCTTATCTTAAGTAGATTTTTACAAAACGAGAATTTACATGGAATCTCAACATACAAAATTGGCATAAAGGAGGGATAAGGCAGTGGGTGACAGTGGTTGCTGGGTCCTGGGCACTGCCTGCTCAGTCCCCGAGCTGATTGTCTTACCCACAGGGGCAGTTTAAATCTTTTACCATCTTATGCTGAGGAGGAAGATGAATTTGCACAGATTTCTCCCTGCATAATTTCTCAATATCTTTAGCACAGTGTGGTGATGACTTTTAAGCTTTACATCAGGCACTCATAACCTATCTCTTATGAAAATAAATGAAACTGGCTGGGCACGAGGGCTCACGCCTGTGGTCCCAGCACGTTGGGAGGCCAAGGTGGGTGCATCACTTGGGGTCAGGAGTTTGAAACTGGCCTGGCTGTCGTGGTGGGACCCCCTCTCTACTAGGAATACAGGGGTTGGCTGGGCGTGGTGGTGTGCAATTGTGATCCTGGCTACTTGGGAGACTGAGGCATGAGAGTTGCTTGAACCCGGGAGGCTAGGGTTGCAGTGAGCTAAGATCGTGCCACTGCATTCCAATCCAGCCTGGGTGATGAGTGAGACTGTGTCTCAAAAAAAAAAAAAAAACAAAAACAAAAAAAATGAAACCATGATTTTCCCTCACACTGTATCATGTTTAATTTTCATTTGTTTATTCCATAAACATGGCAGGCTTTTGAACTTTGTGTTACCTGTATGTTTAATAATGGATCATGCATAATTTCTCAGGAGAATAAAATGAGAATTCAAAACTAGAAAATACATCTCCATGGAAGCTCAAGGCTCTGAGGGCCCTAGTTAGAAAACTACTGGTTTAAAATATTAGGGAAATAGTGGGTCAGTTCTGAAAAGGTAGAGCCCTCGTGACATCCAGCCAGTTAACATGTTTTAGTAACCAAGCAAACCAACCTGGAAAGACACAGATCAGGAGAAACCTCCACATATGGCAGGGCACCAGTCTGAGAGGCAAGTGCTGGAGGAACCGATGCCAGAGAGGGATGTGCTCTTTGGAAAAGAAGGGCAGTGTCATTCCTCTTTTCACCCAGAGTGGGGCTGGGACTTGTGGGAACCCAGGGCCTGTAGCTGGGTTGGGGGTTAGGTGGAGTAGGGAGACAGAGACAATGACACAGTGATGGTGTGTCCCCAGCCCGAAGAGGACTGAGGTGGCTTGGGACGGAATGAGACTCAGTTGGCATTTCTGCACAGGGGCTGTGTGGATCTGTGCAACTCTGATTGTGTCCATGCAGAAACCTGTGCTGTGTTCAGTCGCTGCAATGTTTTTGTAATTCTATGGCTTCCCCCTCTTTTGTTTCCCCTTAGTTTTCAGGAACATTCCAATCAGACTTTACCACTATCTACTGAAAGAGACGAGAAGGTAATTCGACCAGATCAAGACCATCCAGGCTGATGGAGCACAATTCATGACCAGTCCACAGAGCTCTCCTCCTGGATCCCATCAGTTTCACAGAGAATATGGCGTTGCCAAAGCCTGGGGCTCACCCCGTCCCTTTGTGTCTGTCACAGCTCTCCCATTTCTGGAGGAGTTTAGTTAGCCCCCTCCTCCTCCATTGAATCCCTTCTCTTTAAGACTCACAGCTTCAATACCCAAATGCCCTCATGTCTGTAATGGTGCTGCACAGAATAACAAGAAGTTAATGTCATACAAGAAGAATATGCAAGCTTTAGATGATCCTGAACAATGTAGATATCTACATGGTTTTTGCATGTCAATGGATATACCCAGCTTTGAGAACAGGGTTATTTTTATACCCTTCAAGACTTGGTATATTTAATTATCTAGGGAAACTCATTACCCCAACTTCCTAAGCCACTTCTAAAGAAAAAGCACAGATGCAGTGACTAAAGGCTTTCTGGCCTCCTTATACTTCATTTCAGGGCTGGAGGTGACTCAGATGTACCTTGCTGTTTTCATGATCCATTGGTGTCTCAGTAATGAATGTTCACCACTGCAGTGCCCTCATTTAGCCTAATAACCTCCGTAAGGTAATATTTGATTTGTGCTAATTATCTGATTAAACAACATGAAGTATTTAACCTATTGATCTTTTATACTTTGCCAGCCCTACCTTGCTGGATATACTTTAATTACTGACTTGGAGAGCTTTCCGGAATGGGATTTGCCTCTTGTTAAGACCTTTTCTTTGTCTTTAAGGTGCCATGTCAACAGCTTCTCCTTCTTGTTGCCTCTAGACTTTTCTTCTACTTCCTGCTTCTCCACGAGACCCTGCTTGATTTTGTAAGACTGACATTTGGATAATCTATTGAAAGTAGAGTCCTTTATGTAACCATGACTCTTACTGCTTATTTTAAAAAGTCAGTGACCACATAAACAATCGGACTTGTTACTTTGTCCACCCTGATCTTTGGAGCATGGGAAGATGTCCAAAGCGACAACCCCCTTTTAGGCAGTTGGTCACAGCTGTTGGATGGACCTAACCCTTCTATCTTACAAGGAGAAGAGGCCAGTGGGCATCCATCAAAAGAAATCACAGGAAACCATTTAGACTGGCCAATTAGTTAGCTAATTGCTCTAGTCTGAACCACTTCTTAGAAAACTATAGAAAATCATACTTTTTCCTCTTGCCTGCGAGGATATAGTCATGAATGCTAATAATAATTAGCTGCTTTACATGCTGTCTTTTCTTCAAAAATCTCAGACATGCTGAGTTTATTTATTTTTTCTCTTATTTTAAAACTAGATCTACAAAGGCTGAGATAGGTTCTCCATGGGTCCTCCCAAAATGAAAGTAACCCCTCATAAGACTAAGAGAATTCAATGAGAAAGTTCATGTGCAACACTTATCATAATGCCAGTGAGTAAGCACTCAAAATATAGGAGTTACTATTAGTTATATCATCTAAGAAGCCTGTGACTTTTGGGTTGCCCATGAAATTTCTGAATAGCGTCAGACTGGGAGGAAGGCACACTGCTCCAAGTGTCTAATTACTTTGCCCAGCCCACCTGGTAAAGACTGTCCCACCCTGTGTACCAATGCCCTTTGGTCCCTACTGGCCCATCACACATAGGTCTTGGACAAAAAAGAGTGGTTTGTGGAGGATTAAAGACCATGAGAAGGTGAACGTTCACCTTCACTCAAGATGTTGCCTGAAGTCAGGTCAGAAGCAGAGTCAGAATGGCTCTCTAAACAGTTTCTCAAAGGATGCCTTCTATGGGGTGATGTGCTTGACAACAACGCAAATTCAAGAAACATGCCCCAGACAACTTAACTGGAATTTCTATGAGTATAGCCCAGGAATATGCAATTAAATCAAGCTGATGGGTGATTCTTGTGTTCAATAAAGTTTGAGAACCATGCTACTAAGTGGTGCCTTTAACGGCAACTCAAAAACTTGCAGAAAACATCCAAAGAAGGCTGGAGGTGGCCTGGGGCTTACTTTATAGGAGCATCTGACAAGCTCCACCCTCCAGGTGGCATTCTGGTGCTGAAAAACACAATAAAAATTTGGGGTTGCTATCAAGCAGGGGTAACCGTGCAGCTTGTGGAGTGGCTTGGAGACCTCCCGATAGTCCTGCCAGGATCTGGAGCAGACAGTGGGCACCAGCCAACGCCGGGGGATGTGAAGGGCAAAGGGGGCCCCGTGGGGGAAGAGAACTGTGAGGCCAGCGGTGCCCACAGGACTGTTGAAACAGAGCTCCATGCCCTTCTCCATTGCCTCTGTAAATACCCTGGGGAGTCCTTTTACTCCATTCCAGCTTCCCTGTCACTGGTGATGCAGTTGGGATGCTTACTTTCACTTCCAAATGATGCTACCTCAGAGAATGCAAATTCTAATACACACAAGACAGAGACAATCCATGGGAAACACGATGCTTGCTGGGACGTATGCACATGTGCACACTGATGTGCATTGCATCATTGCATTTGTTCCAAAGCCAGTAAAAATGATTTCCAGATAATCTGCTGTTTTGGATCATCTGCACCGCTGCTTGCTTCCATTACCGTGGCTAATTGAGAACTGACTGTGTGTCTTGGACCACTTCCAGGAAGGGAACCCATTGCCTCTATAACACAGGCTCCCCGAGAGAGGCAAGCAAATGGCTGGAAATGTCAGGTTGAATGCCCATTGGAAGAGCAAACTTTTAAGGATGACCTGACCATTCTTAGGCCAGAGAAGCAATTTTGTTCAGCATGTCACATTGATTGCCAAGTCAGTAAACCATAAAACTGTCCCACAGCTAGAACATGCACTGACTCTGAGAAAGATGAGGCTTGGTTAGTAAAGGATGAAGCCATTCCAAGACCAATAAAAAATGCAATATGGTTTTCCCTGGGCTGTATATTAACACCATCCTGGAAGCTATAGGGGATAGAGTCTTGGCAAACAGTTATGTTTTGCTTTGACTTTTTGCAAAGTGAGGATGAGATAGAGGCCAATGGGGAGATCATCTGAGGCCAGATGAAAGGCTTGGAAAGAGTAAGTCTTTACAGAAACCTAGTCTCTGAAGAAACCACTGATGTTTATGATGTCTTGGCCAGTGTCTTCTGTCATATAACATCTTGGTGAAATACCCCAAATAGATCTTAAAGCCAAAACAAACTAAGAAAAAAGGAAAATAGAAAACACAATGTTGTAACTGCCTTCTGGGTTGCCATGTTTCGGATGGTGTCATTTTTTTCTTATGACATCAGCTCCCAGATGGCACAGACACTG